GAGCAATGTCAATTGATTTCCTTCGTTTTGAAAGCATGTATATGTGAGTGTACGGTGTATGCATGTTGGATGTGTATATATGATTAGTTACTTACTTTTGACAGTTGGTGTTCTTTGAGATAGGAATATTCATTTGAACTCCACACTTAGTAGGGAGAGAAGAGGCTGCATCTTCCTTTATATTGGGATAGCGAGCAGCAGCTTCCTTAACGCAGTAGCAGGCGGCTTGGCGGTCAGTGGTGGTAGGGGTGATGGCCTTGAGATTCTTGACACCATCACAGCATGCTGCTGCAGGCGTACCACCTGATGTGAGATAGGGAATGCATGCAGCCAATGACGCATCAACTTGTCCACATGTCACAGCAGCCTGCCCTGGCTTCACCACCAGCTGAGCCATCACTATCATAACCAGCATCGAGATCATTGCGCCCTTCATTTTTTCTGGTACTTTACTTTGAACTGTGGACCACTGATCACTACTAGCTGGCTCTTTTAGTTTGGTTGTGTTTTGAAGCGAAGTGGCTGGGTCTATATATATAAGCATGTCGAAGTGTAGAAAGTTAGAAGTTGTGGGTCATGCCATAACAATGGCAGTTACTCAGTTTCATCAACTTGTTCACCTTGCAATATCTCTTGGTTACCTAAAATAGCCTAAAATAAAAAATAAGGATAAGCTTCTGAATCATATTTGCTTTCTCTTTATGCTCTTTCTGTTAAATCTTATCTGACTTGGGGAAAGGCTTAAACCACCATAATTGGTTGAATTGCAATATTTTTCCCCCCATGTTATATGCCGTGCAAGGAACTGGTGGTATATTACGAGGTGTTCCCTTGTTATATCCTCTAGTTAGACAGCGAGATGGATCAATCTAACATATGTATATATATATATGGCGAATGTTTGCATGTAATATCTTTGTTTTGGAGTTTAAAAATTGCTCTAGATAGGCCGGATTTACCAGTCAAGAAATACACTATTCATCTCATCGTTGGTGTATATTAATTTGTTGGGCAACTTGTTATTGCCTAACCTTGTGCAACTACACTTCTGACATTCTGCATTTATGTCTTAGATGTGCAATCTTGAATATATAAGCCTTGAGAGAACTTGTTTATTTAGTTATTCTTTACTTAATCCCTTCTGGTTTAGATGCATAACAACTGGAGTAAGGAGTTGTTATTATATCGTATTAAGAAGTATAAATTAGGGTTTCATTGGAGTAAATGGTATATTAGTAATACTTCTCACACTTTTTTATCTAAAAAAATGGTGTATTAGTAACATAATTCAGATCTTTGTAACTTTTGTAATTAATACTGTTTCTTTTTGTTGTTACTATTCACTCGCATATATAGAGTTCAAAATTCGATGAAATATACAAGTCATTTTTCTACATAATATCAAAACTCTAGGTTAAAAGAACCCTAAACTTTTTCATCAACCATGTTCAGCCTTCATTGTAGAAAAAAAAAAAACCCGAAAAGGTAGCCGGCCACCTCAGACCAGCTGCTGGCCATTATAGGAGCCAGTGAGCAACGGTAGCCAAACCGGCCTTCACCACCAGACATCAACCACAAATGGAGCTGCAAGGTGCAGCTCCTTCTCCTGCCGTAGTATTTATCTTTATTAAACTGGGAGTCTATTAGCGTCCATCAGAAAGGAAAGCTTGTTGTATGGCATACCTATAAATTTACAGTTCATATGAATAAAATTAATAACAGTAATTAATTGGAAGCAGACAGTAGAGCATCTTGAATTTCGAGATCGGTGGATTTTCTTTAATGATCCCCAAATTCCTAGTTCCAAAAATCTCAACCCATAATCCGATCCAAATGCACATCCATAACAATGCTGCATTTTTGGCATGCTCAGATTTGGATTGAAGAAAAGAAAGTTCAAATTAAACTTTTTAAAGCTTGATGCTCTCTGAAAATTTAATCATTCATTTACTAAATTATGGAGATTTTGGCCAGAGCCAGGTAACTCAGACAGCAGGGTGCACCCTTGTGGAATCTTTTAATGTGGGTTCAATCATATTGTTATGAATAAAAGAAACATAATTTTTGAGGTCATTCTTAAAAAAACTTATTTGGTATCATGTATGAAAATTCATCCTGGTGTAGATTATAGCAATATGATTATACCAGATCTTCTAGTGTAGTATTTCTATATAAATATATAGACATATATATTTAAATGGATAAATAGGTAGATAGAGAAAGAGAAAGAGAGAGAGAGAGAGAAAGTGAGAGAGAGAGATATCAATAAATTTCATCTAACTTTTGGTTGATAAAATTTATTTGATAAGAGAGACAAAAAGATTTCCGTAATGACATGACAACAAAATTTGTTTATTTATGAAGATATCTGGTTCTATTTTGTTGTTATGGCAAAGCTCAAAGCGCTCCCAGCTTTATTAATTATGTTCTTCTTGCCTTTATCCATCTCAGTTGATGCTAGCAAACACAAAAAGACAGAGAAAAATGTCAATCAATATCCAAAGGTCTTGAAAGCATATATATTTGTGTGTACGTGTGAATGCATGTGTTGAGGTGTATGAATAATTAGTTAGACTTACTTTTGACAGTTGGTGTTCTTTGAGATAGGAATATTCATTTGAACTCCACACTTGGTAGGGAGAGAAGACGCTGCATCTTCTTTGATATTGGGATGGCGCGCAGCAGCCTCCTTAACGCAGTTGCAAGCCGTTTGGCGGTCAGCGGTGGTAGGGGTGATGGCCTTGAGATTCTTGACACCATCACAGCATGCTGTGGCAGGCGTGCCACCTGCTGTGAGATACGGAATGCATGCAGCCAGTGATGCATCGACTTGGGTACAAGTCACAGCCGCCTCTCCTGGCTTAACTAAAAGCTGAGCCATCACTGTCATTAGCAACATTGATACAACAGCACCCTTCATTTTTGCTGGTACTATACTTTGAACTGCGACCCACTAATCGCTTCTAGCTGCTTGTTTTAGTTTTGGTATGCTTTGAAGTGAAATTGGAGGATGTATATATAGGCATTTGAAGTTGAAGAATGTTACAAGTTGTGGGTCATGCCACAGCAATAGCTGTTAGTGTATTTTGTCATCTGCTTTATCTGTTGGTTTCCCAAAATAGTAAATAGGGATGGGCTTCTGAATCATGTTTGCACTTTCTGTTGGGTCATGTCTGGCTTGGTGAAAGGAGTATCACCATAGCTGGTTGTAATAAAATTTCCAGCATCTTGGATCATAATATAAGGTAATTGAAAGTGATAATCATGTTTTAGATATTAGTAAGTAAATTAGTAAGCGTTCATCTCTCATTCATACATGAGAATGTGTGTGTAATTTATGCTTGTATATCTCTTTTTTTCTGAACGATTCAATTGCGTTTTTTGTCCTTCTATTTCTTCTTTTCCCTTCTTATTATATGTTATGGCAACTCTGAGAAGGAATATCAGTGACTTAAGGTAAGGATTTAGTAATCACTCTAGATAAGCATAATATATAGTAGTCAGTAACATCTCTTGATGACTACATGCTTAGTGAGACAAATAGTTGAGCTGGCTGATCAATTATATCTCAAAGTTAATAATGACAAAGGAAGATTAAACCTTTTTGTGCGCCTAAAGATCCAACAACGAGCAATTCAGCAAAAGAAATGATGAGTCAAGTATAAAAGAAGAGGCAAGATTGTTGAAGTTTATACTTAGGAATTCTGTTTGAAACTGTGTGGAACGATGATATTAGATCTTTCCTAATAGTTTGAAAATTTAAATTAATTACACCTAATTAAATTATTGAGAAAGTTATGTAAAGGTTTTTGGTGTTTTGATGTAACTATAACTGGGTCCAGTATTTCTCAAAATAACAATTTAAAGTGAGCTGAAATTAATAAATATATTTTCCTTTGCAGGAACTGAATTGTTACTTTTAGAAAATAAACTGGTTGTGATTATTAAAACTTAAAAATCTCCATCTGATTTAGTTTCGGTTATTTCACATTGTATGTATAGATTTGCATTAATACTGGAGTATTATTATATAGCTTGGCCTTATATAAAAATCTCAGATGCAACCTATTGTTTTCGCCCCCATTGTTGTTGTTCTTCTTAGATAAAACAAAAAATGTATTGAAAAGAGAGAATGAACTTTGTTTACTTTGGATTCAACTCACACTTGCTCGTTTATCTCTACTATTTATGTAGGATTAGGGAGAGACCAGCAACTTGTATTTGTATTATGAAGAAGTCAACCTAACAACTGAGATTGGTTCCAATATGAATACCAAATTGGTTGCAGTATTCCTTGTAGGAATGAATCCGAGCATGAACAGCTCCAGGGTTTTCGCCATTGCAATCTTTGCCATTGGTGGCCCAGATAGTTGCTTAGAAGCCTTGCCTCATGACAGATCGAACGTTTGATATCTAGAACCACAAGGCTGTCTTGAAAGACACGAGGGGATCCTTGCCCACGGTTTCTTCGTAATTAATGTTATTTCTTTTTTTGTTACAATTCGCACACACATATATATATATATAGGGTTCTAATATTCAATGAAGTATACAACAATTTATTCTTCTACAGATAATGCACTTGAGATTGTTGCTTTAATTATCTCCAGTTTTTGTTCAATTCATCTGTAGGAGCTTTCAGTAACTAATGTGATATGGAGCTGGGCACTAGCATCTAAAAGTTAGGTTCCCTTTGACGTTATTGTTATTCCTAATAATTGATAAAGACTGAAGAAAAAGCCACACAAAAAAAAAAGGGTTGCAGCAGAAGAGATAAGATGAGGCAAAAAGACAATGTTATGGTTTAGGTGCAGAACTGACTGGAGAGAGGAAATCTGGTTAAATGTTTTAATTAATTAGGGCAAAGATTAGGTAGAATATGAATTATTTTATGTTATTTCCGAATCAAGATAGATTAAACATACTTAAAATTAAAAATTTTGTATATAATATTTGTCTTTATTAGACTGGGAGTTTATAAGCATCCATTAGAGAGGAAACCTTATTTTATGGCTTACCTATAAGTTTACAGTCAATATAAATAAAATTAATAAGACAGTAATTAATTAAGAACAGATATTAGAGAATTTTAACTTTAGAGATCGGTGGATTTTCTTTAATGATCCTCAAAATCTAGTTCCAAATATCTCAACCCATTATCTGATCCAAACGCACATCCATAACCATGCTGCATCTTTGGCATGCTCAGAATTAGTTTGAAGAAAAGGAAGTCCAAATTAGACTTACTTAAAGCTTGATGCTCTCTGAAAATTTAGTCATTAATTTACTGAATTATGGAGATTTTGGCCCGAGCAGGGTACACCCTGGTGGAATCTTTTAATGTGGGTTCAATCATATCATTATGATTATGAATAGAAGAAACAAAACTTCTGAGCTCATTCTTAGAAAATATTGTTTGATATTATGTATGGAAATTCATCCTGGTGTAGATTATAGCAGTGTGATCATACTAAATCTTCTAGTGTAGTATATTTATATAAATATATAGACATATATAGATAAGTAGATATATAGATAGATAGATAGAGGGAGAGAGAGAGAGAGAGAGAGAATGTTGGTATTTTGTACGAAAATTCATCCTGGTGTAGATTATAGCAATGTAATCACACTAGATCTTCTAGTGTAGTATGTTTATAAATATATAGACATATATAGATAAGTAGATATATAGATTAGATATATATATATATATATAGAGAGAGAGAGAGAGAGAAAGAGAGAGAGAGAAATATCAATAAATTTCATCTAACATTTGGTTGATAAAATTTATATAATAAGAGAGACAAAAAGATTTCGGTAATGGCCCTCTTTAACCAACATGACAACAAAATTTGTTTATTTATGCAGATTCTGGTTCTATTTTGTCGTTACGGCAAAGCTCAAAGGGCGCCCAGCTTTATTAATTATGTTCTTCTTGCCTTTATCCATCTCAGTTGATGCTAACAAACACAAAGAGGCAAAGAACAATGTCAATCAATGTCCAAAGGTGTTGAAAGCATGTATATTTCTGTGTACATGTGAATGCATGTGTGGAGGTGTATGAATAATTAGTTAGACTTACTTTTGACAGTTGGTGTTCTTTGAGATAGGGATATTCATTTGAACTCCACACTTGGTAGGGAGAGAAGATGCTGCATCTTCTTTGATATTGGGATGGCGCGCAGCAGCCTCCTTAACGCAGTTGCAAGCCGCTTGGCGGTCAGCGGTGGTAGGGGTGATGGCCTTGAGATTCTTGACACCATCACAGCATGCTGTGGCAGGCGTGCCACCTGCTGTGAGATACGGAATGCATGCAGCCAGTGATGCATTGACTTGGGCACAAGTCACAGCCGCCTCTCCTGGCTTAACTAAAAGCTGAGCCATCACTGTCATTAGCAACATTGATACAACAGCACCCTTCATTTTTGCTGGTACTACACTTTGAACTGCGACCCACTAATCGCTTCTAGCTGCTTGTTTTAGTTTTGGTATGCTTTGAAGTGAAATTGGAGGATGTATATATAGGCATTTGGAGTTGAAGAATGTTACAAGTTGTGGGTCATGCCACAGCAATAGCTGTTAGTGTATTTTGTCATCTGCTTTATCTGTTGGTTTCCCAAAATAGTAAATAGGGATAGGCTTCTGAATCATGTTTGCACTTTCTGTTGGGTCTTATCCGGCTTAGCCAACGGTATATTGCCATAGCTGGCTGTAATAAAATTTCCAGCATCTTGGATCACAATTTGAATTAATTGAAAATGATAATCATGTTTTAGATATTAGTAAGTAAATTAGTAAAGGTTCATCTCTCATTCATACATGGGAATGTCTGCATATAATGTATGCTTCTTCTTTCCCCTTTTTATTGTATGTAATGGAAACTCCGGGAAGGAATATCATTGAATTAATGTAAGGATTTAGTAATCACTCTAGATAAGCATAATATATAGGTTTCAGTGACATCTCTTAATGACTACATGCTTAGTGGGTCAAATAGTTGAGGTGGCTGATCAATTAAATCTAAAGCTTAATAATGACAAAGGAAGATTAAAATTTTTGAGCGCTCAAAGATCCAACAACGAGCAACTCGGCAAAAGAAATGATGAGTCTAAGCACAAAAGAAAAGGCGAGATTGTTGAAGTTTATACTTAGGAATTCTGTTCAATACTGTGTGGAACAATGGTATTAGAGCTTTCCTAGTAGTCTGAAATTTTAAGTTAATTAGTCACCTAATTAAATTATTGAGTAATGTATATGAAGTTTTTTGGTGTTTAGATCTAACTATAACTGGGTTCATTACTTCTCAAAATAATAATTTATAGTGAACTGTAATTAACAAACATGTTTTACTTTGCAGGAACTGAATTGTTACTTGTAGAAAATAATAAACAGATTATGATTATTAGAACTTAAAAATCCCCATCTGATTTAGCCTCACATATTTCACATTGTATGTATAGTTTTGCATCAATATTGTAATATTATTATATAGCATGGCCTTGTTTACTTTTGATTCAACTCATACATAACATAAAGCTGCACACTTGCTCACTTATCTCTACTAGTTTTGTAGGGGTAGGGAGAGACCAGCAACTTGTATTTGTATTCTGAAGAAATCAACCTAACAACTGAGGTTGGTTCCAATATGAATGCCAAATTGCTTGCAGTATTCCTTGTAAGTACTGAATCCGAGCCTGAACGGCTCCAGGGTTTCCGCCATTGCAATCTCTGCCATTGATGGCCTGAATGGTTGCTCGAAAGCCTTGCTCCATGACGGACCGGACATTTATCATCCGGAACCACAAGGCTGTCTTGAAAGACACGATGAGATCCTTGCCAACGTTTTCTGGATAGCCGAGTAAGTTGAGGTTGAGAGCATCCCCTGCTGCATTGTAGGTATGTTGAAATAATAATTTGAAAATTAAAGAGACTTTTTATCTTACTAACGAGCTAAAAATAATAATTTATAAATAAATAAAAAATTTCTTACAAAGAATTAAATTATAAATATGTGTTTTTTCGTTTTCTCTAAATAATTAAAATTTATAAATTAAAATTCGATACGGTAATTCTGGACATGTTGGTTCTCACTGGAGAATGGTGTATGTGCAAGTAGGGTTCTCATTGCTATTTATACATAGTTGTTAAAAGAGTGAAATATGCGGTGAAAAGACCGCGAAAAGTTTGCTCTCTCGGCTACATGACTGTCAGTCTACCGTTTGAAGCTGAATTGAGCGAAGAAAAGTTCGTTTCGAGAGAAGTCTATTTCTTTGGTTTCAGAGTGCCCATCTGAAGCAATTTTTCTAATGCGAATACAAGTAACTTCCCTTAATTGCTTGGAATAGCCTACACAGCCATCGAACATACCTAATAAGCTTAAAGTTCGGTGAATTTTCTCTAATGATCTTTGAAATCTGATTACGCATGTCTTAATCCATTGTATGATCAAAATATTCAACCATAACCATAAGTTTAGTTGGTATCGAAACGTACGATAAATAGTGCACAATATAAGATTTAAATTTTATACTCTCGAACGTATTAGTTTTTTAACGAATCGATGAATTGTATTTTAAATTATATTTTATTGAAAGAAGATTTAATAACTTAATATACTTAAATTATTCAGATTTTGGCTAAAACCTATTTAGCCGGACATTAGAATACACTCGAGTGGAATCGTTTAATGCGGATTCAGGTTCGATCATATCATAGAACCAACAACTTTGAGCTCATTAATCTTTTGAAAATCATTTCATTTTAGGTAGAAAAAATCTTTCAAGGATCATATCATATAAATTGCATGAGTGTGATCATACTAGATTTTTTCTGACTTATAGTGTGTGTGTGTGTGTTTGTGTATGTATATACTTACACACATTGATAGATTAATAGGGAGAGAAATGGAGATTATTAAATTTAATCAACATTTTGTTGATAAATCATATATGATAAGGAAGAGAATAAAATTTTGGCAATGACCATCATGACAACAAAATTTTATTATTTATGAAGTAACATACATATATATACATATACATATATATATATGTACTTAATCCTCTGGTTCTCTTCAGTCCTGATCCAAAGAAACTTAAGCTTTGCCCAGCTTTATTAATTACCTTCTTCTCTAATTGCGTCCATCCATCTCAGTTGATGCTACAAAACGCATAAGGACAAACAACAATACAATAATGATAATCAATATCCAATCTTTTGGAAGCACATATACATAAGTGTATATATATATATATATAGATGTGGTTTGATTTTGATAATATTATGCGTATGTTCTAGTGAATATTTTGCTTATATTTTGAAAATATTCTGAGAAAAATTATAATATTTTATATATATAAGAGTTTAGAATTTTATTAATAATATAGTCTTATTTTTTATCAGAGTAGAAAATTTTTTCTGGATTTAATCTGCGGATGTATAGATATATTTTTTTGAATCATGTTAAATTTTGTATTTTTTTTTTTTGGTAATACATTAGAGAATATTTTTTTGTCAACAATATGTATATATATATATATATATATATATATAGACACACTCAACAATATAAAAAAATATATATAGACATACATGTATGGATAGTAGTTAGACTCACTTTTGGCAGTTGGTATTCTTGGAGATGGGAATATTCATTTGAACGCCGCACTTGGTGGGGAGAGAAGCTGCTGCATCTTCCTTGATATTAGGGTACCGACCAGCCGCCTCCTTCACGCAGTTGCAGGCAGCTTGACGGTCGGCGGCGGTGGGAGTTATGGCCTTGATATTCTTCACGCCATCACAGCACGCCGGAGCCGGAGTACCGCCGGCCGTCAGGTAGGGAATGCAGGCAGCAAGTGATGCATCGACCTGGCCGCAAGTCACGGCTGCCTCACCTGGCTTCATGGCCACCAGCTGAACCACCATAAATGCAACCAGGATAGATGCAATAACACACTTCATTTTAGCTTACTTCGAAGCAGGAACCACTGATCGGTACTAGTTTCCTCTTTTCGTTTTGGGTAAACCAGTTTCCTGTTTTGGAGTGAAATGGCAGGGTGTATATATATAGGCGTGTAAAGGGGATTATACTATAACCATAGCTGTTACTGTGTTTTGTCATCTGGGTTTGCTTGTGGGTTTCCTAAAATAGTAAATGGGGATAAGCTTCTGAATCTTGTTTGAACTTTCTGTTAGGTCTTATCCTAGCCTTATCACCATCTACTAATGCTTCTTGGGAATCTCCTCTTTCTTAATCTTCACTTGATGATGTTCAGAACGCCTTATCACCATCTAATAATACTTCTTGAGAATCTACTCTTTCTTAATCTTCAGTAGATGATATCCGAAACTGAGAATTAGTTTTCAAAAATACTTGTACCTTTTGTAGTTGATCAAATCGATATAAATTAATCTTAATATATATATATATATATATATGCAGGTGTGGAGAGAGAAACAGAGTTGGGATATTTTGGTGTGAATTTAGGTGATGAACAAGTGGATCTTGGTTTGAAGATTGAGCTAATATGCAATGGGGCATTTGCAAAATGAACAAATTGCCCATCCATATATATATATATATATATATATATGTATAGCAAACAATCTAATGAATTGAAAAAGAAAATCAAATACAATCTTCCCTCCCTCAAACATATATAATCTAATATATATATTCATCTTCATAAATATTGGGTAAATTCTTTATTTCTCTACTAAAAAAAATTTAGATTCAAACTAGACTATAATATATATATATATATTTTCTTCCCACCTTTTTGTTTATTTTGTAAGACTTAACTTTGAGATACTTCTTATCCTGATACATGCAAGAAAGTGTTTAAAACATATATAATATTAGAATTTTAAAAACACCCAATAAATATATAGAGAATTCACGATGGTGTAATTATAAGAGAGTACTTCTGATCGTACATGCATGTACAATTGCTCCATCACTCATTTCTCTACCACATATATATATATATATATGTTTATTTATTTATTTAGGGTTAACTGCGAAGATAGGAGCAGCATGCATGACGTTATAATTATAATTCTATTACAAACAAAAAGTCAACCATCTAACACCTGATATTGGCTCCAGGATCAACACCAAGTTTGCTACAATACTCCCGGTAGTACCGGATCCGAGCGTCGACAGCTCCAGAGTTTCCACCATTACATTCCATGCCATTGATGGCCCGAATGGTTGCTCCGAACCCTTGGTTCATGACGGGTCGGACGCTCGTCATCCAGAACCACAACGCCGTCTTGAAAGACACGACGGGATCGTTAGCCACCGCCTCCGGCGAACCCAGTAAGTTGAGGCGGAGAGCATCTCCTGCTGCGCCATAGTTATAGTTCCATGATATCTGAATCGGTCCTCGTCCGAAGTACTTCTTCCCTGGAGCACAAGGGTATTGCCTATTGTTGGGATCGCAGTAGTTCAGAGAAGCTCCGTTGATTTCTTCTATGTAGCAGAAATCTGGTCAAGTAATAGAATCTTTTGTTAGCTTAGTTTCTGATCATCTACTTAAACAACATACGTACAAATTTTACATGTATATAGATGGGTATGTGAAAAACTTTTAAGAGATACAGCAATTCTAAGTGATACTTTGTTCGAAATATGAAGAAATAGAAGGAAAGAATAATAGAAAAACTCAATTTTTAATCAATACATGTACAAATTTTTGCATAAAGACTTAATTTTTAATCATTATAGGTACAAGTTTTATGTGTACAGAGACAAATATGTTGGGAAAAATACTAAAAGATAAGTTATTTTTAGGAAATGTTTTGTTGGAAACAGGAGAAATAAGCAGATGCTAATAGAAAGACTTCATTTTTTTCATTTATGGTTATTACTAAAAGCTTTTGAAGTATATAGGTATATGTAAACACTAATATAGTATATTTAAAGTTTCATATATATGTACCATATTTAAGTATAATTCACTATTATAATTAAGTTTAATAAACTATTAGAAAAACTTAAAAACCACATGAAAAGTCCTCATAATTTATAAATTATTATTTTTAATTCTTTAATAAGATAAAAAAAGTTTTCTTAATTTGTAAGTTATTATTTTTAAGAGGGTATATGAGAAATACAATTTTTTAAGTGCATACGTATGTACATATATAGATATATATATGTATATAGAATCACAAGAGAGAGAGAATATTGCATGGGGATAATCTTACGTCCAGTCTCATGAGTAACATGAGCGAAGAAAGCCGCAATCTCACGCTTGGTATCACCAAACTGAGGATATTGTCTCGCAGCAGATAAAAAAGCATTCCGACTATAAAACCTTTTCCCGGCACAGCTGGCCGAAGCCTGACCGATTATACCATCAAAGAATGCCGGAGTTACAGTTCCATCCACGGAGCCTCCACCGCCGCCTCCGCCGCCGCCGCCTCCTTGGCATGGACCCTGTTGGCACCCTTCACCACAGTACGCACTGGTGGAGCCACAGTACCCATATTTGCTGCAGCACAAGTTTGGTGCGCAGCCACATTTTTGTGCCAGTGCTGGTTTTTGAGCAGCTCCAATGAGGAGTAGTAGTGTTAGAAGTGGAAGAGGAAGAATGGTGATTCTGGACATGGTGGGTGGTTGGAGAAGAAGATGAAAATGGTGTGATGTGCAAGTAGGGTGTGGTAGATGGGTGTGTATTTATAGGTGAAAACTGAAAAGAGTGAAGAAGAAGAAGAAGAAGAAGAAAGAGAAGATGTTGCAGATTTTTGGGATTTGTGGGGCCGGAGTTTTTAACTTGTAATTCGGGAGTGAAGAAGAAGTCTTTGCTCGCCCATAAAATTATTATATTTTTCTTAAATTTTTTAATTAAAAATTTCACCAATAAAAAAATTAGAATTTTTTTTTTGTCATATTCTTTATGAGATTGATATATATATATATATATATAGAAAACAAGGGCAAGTTATAATTATGTGTGTGTGTATATATATATATATGTAAAAAAATATTTTTAAAAAAATTGCTTGGTATAGTAGTATATAAAATAATTTTTAAAATAAAAATAGAAAATTGGGTAATTTCATATTAATTTTAAATATGGGAAAATTGAAAGCAATTGATATTTTATATAATTAAAAATACTAATTATTGGGAAGCAAGTTAAATTTAAAATATAATAACTAAAATATAATAGAAGTTAACAAGTTGGTACTTCTTTTAGACGTCATATCACATAATTATATTTAATTTGGTTTTCTTTAAGATAATTAACTTTTAGTTTATATATACATACATACATACATACATATATATATATATATATATATAATCACGAATATAGCAAATGGCCTTATTATAGTGCGAGACTTTTTTTCCTTTTTTTTTTAAAGATTCAAATTATAGTGGAAGATTTAAACGAGCACTAAGTTTAAGTGGAGATTGACCTCCATCTCTAGAGGAAGACTTAGACATGATTCAATAGTTTATACTATATATATATATATATATATATATACACACATACACACTATGAAAAATCTATCATAAATATATTTTGATTATAATTTTTTATCTGATATGTGATACGATCACTCGAATTGAATTATCATGTACAAATATATTTTATCTGACACGTGATATGATCATTCGAATCAAATTAATATATAACTATAATTTTTAATTTAAATTGATTTAATTTTTTTATTTAAAATATTCATAAATTTTTCGATTAATTAATTTAAAAAAAGTAATAAATATTTAAAAATATATGAAGTAACAATACTTTTATACAAATAAATTAATACAATATAAAGAGTATACATAAATTATAATTGAATAAATTGAAATTAAATATGAATCAAACCCATCATAGGACAATAATTCCAATATTTAGTATTTTTCTTATCTTTATAGGAAGGTGTGGCGAAGAGAAAAAAGAATTTAGGGAGTCAACAATGGCGTCCTAGTTAGAATATTCAATTTGAGCTAATATATTCATATATATATATATATATGTATGTATGTATATAAAGATATATGTATGTATGTATGTATGTATATAAAGATATAGGACGGTAAATGGGACATTTGAGATAGTCCAAATTGCATATGTTAAAAACTGACCTTGCGGACACGTTATGGCACTAATTGGGTACGGTATTATTATTATTATTATTATTAAAATTCACGAGCTTAGAATTTTTAAATGACATAAATTTACAAGTGTATTTTTGGGACCATCAATTAATATAACTTTTGAAAGGTAAACCAACATTTTAAAAAAATAATAATAATAACAGTAAAAACCATCTTATTTACTAATTTTTTTTAAAAAAAAAATTTA